TACAAACTTAACTCCCGTGAGTGTAAATTTTACTCCCAATCCACTTAGATTTCATGAGTAAATGTATAACCATATGTTTTTAAGTGAAAATCACATATAATTCCTCTTTCAGCGTGGAGCTAACTTCAATACAGACGTAATTCCACCGTTAGAGTCATGTGTCACTAGAGATAACCAACTCGGACCAGATTAAACTGTTCATAGTTGCTTGACGCAATCTACATTCAACTTTGGCAGCTAAGCGTTTATCCCATATTGAAGTTGGAAAATTAACCCATGCCTTATTGATTTCTAATAATTTATGAACATGTTATTTCAATATTATATGTATACTAACATTATAGAATTTACTCCCCCAAAAGATGTGCAAAGAATTAGCTCTAAATGTAATTGAAGTTTTACAGTCCACTCCTCTAAATTCATTTTGAATCTATTATTGAATTTGCTATTTGAGATCCATAGATCTCTGGTTCTCTGAGCCCATCCTCATAACTTTCTGAATATTATAATATGTTACAGTGAATTTCATCATATCTTTTATGGTCCTTCAAACCTAGATATTATAGAACCGGTTCCTATCCATAAACATTTTTTATAGTTCTTCGAACCGGGATCTTCATGATCAACTGTATATCAGTATAACCAAACTAACAAATTACTAACCCTGATAATATTATGCTCTTAATCAAGGCGTATTGTCAAGAGTTAGGCTATACAATTATTATTACCTATCTTATGGCCATCAGCAGACCGCCACACATTATAGCCTAACTCAATTATTTACAACTATAATTTATCTAAATATTTCCATCCATGCTAGACTAAGGCCTAATGTATAAAGTGGTTTTAGTGGGTCATAGTCAGTTACCCACAACACTTAGGCCTATACGTCACACTGAAGTGAGAATATTTAGATCTGGAGCAACCAATCGCTCATAATTTTAATGATAATCCTGTGTTAACATCCACATTAGACTGGCCACACCATTTAACAATTATTTATCTTGGTGGTAATGATATCCAACCAACTCGACACCCAACTGAAATCATAAATAATCTCAGAAACATTATCAATTTCTTTAGGGAAAATAATTGCACTGTTGTATTCCTATTAGCGGAACCTCGCCAACCAAGAAGTAGCAACCATTGGGGAGCGAGTCCTGAATTTTACAAACATGCAGCTAAATATATAAATTTTCGGCTGAGGAGAAGGGTAAGGCTGGAGGCCACCTATATTAATTTTTCTGCCAGACCATTTCATAAAAACCTTGCTCCAGACGGAGTACATCTGTCACGAGAGTCTAGAGTATATGTGGTCAGCAAATTAATTAATACTATTAATCGTCACAGGAGATTGTGGCAAGAAAGCCAACGTTAATTGAATATATTCAAATATTCTTATTCATGCATTTCTTGTAAGTATATAAACTATATAAATCAAAACTATAAAATCCAAAAACATAGCACTGCTATACAAATTTTTGCACATCATTATTATTATTGTATCTTATGCCAACCCACATAGGGTAGGATTTTTTACACTGGAATTGTACAAAATCCTGTACAACTCCTCGCCTAAACTATTATTAGCTACTTTGTTAGGTAGGTTTAATATTAGACTAGTACTGTATTAGACAGCACTGGTAATTATTATTTAATGTTATGCAGGGTGGAATTTATTATTTTTACACAAATTGTGTATTTATTTTATTATGTTTCTTATTATGTACATCTTTGAGTGTTACTAGGTGTCACTATACCAACCAAAGGTGAACGAGAAGAACTAACTGGCAATACAACCATAATGCCATCAAAGTACTATTCAAATCCTATATATATATATATTGCATGTTTTGGTAGGTAAGCCAACCGTCAACAAGAGGTAGGATCACATAGCCTAATCTAGAAAATTAAATATTAGGCTATTATATTGATATTGGTCTTTGCTACATGAGCCAATATCCTAGCAACTACACCAAACTCAGGAAGCCTCAAACCACACGATGGATATGGCTGGAAGAATGAGGAAGACCTTTACAGGTCTAAAAGGTCACTTGACCAGACAGATTAACAAATGCCAAAATCTGTCTCAACAGTCACCCATTGACTATTTAGAGCTGGAAAGTTATTTCAAAGTTGCTAATAATAGGTTTGAACAAATTAGAGTTCAGATAACACAATATTTGTCTGAACTTAGACACAAATTACAGAAACAGAATTAGATGACATGCATGAATTACCAATAGCAGTTCCCGTGGTGTGGTGGTTAAGACATTCACCTGGCGTTTCGCGAGAGCTTTGTCCTGGGTTTGTATCCTGGCCGGGGAGGATTTACTGGGTGTAAACCCTTAACTGTAGCCTCTGTTTAGCTCAACAGTAAAATGGGTACCTGGCTGTATAAATGATTCTTTGAGGGGGTTGTATTCCAGGGAACATAGGATTAAGGACTTGCCGAAACACTACGTGTACTAGTGGCTGTACAAGAATGTAAGAACTCTTGCATATATAAATACTGTAAAATAAAAAATATATAAAAAAAAAATTAGCCCAGTACGAAGATGATGTACAAGTTAAACTGCAGCCCTTTAATAAACTAATTACTCAGAATAAAGTAGCCACAGCATCTGCAAATTTTCCACAACCTGAAGTAATATTATCTTTGATTAGTCTACCCACATTCTCTGGTAACGAGAATGAAAGTTGGGATGATTTTTGGAATAAGTTTGTAGATGCAGTAGATTCTAAACCAAATATTCCCAAAACTGCTAAGTTTACTTGTTCACAAGGTCAACTCCGAGATGTAGCCTTAAAGGTAATCTCCAATTTAAACTTGACCAGTGATGGCTATGACCTCGTAGTTCAGCTACTTAGAAGCAATTATTCTAACACAGAGAGAGCTATCACCACGTTAGGCCAAAAGCAGCTGCTCTTGCCAGCAACTGATAGTTCTACTGACTCTCTCCAAACTTTTCGATTGGAACTTGAGTCCCTACTTAAGGCTTCAAGCCTCAGAGTCAAACTTAAAGCTGCTGAATGGTTGACACAAGTAATCATAAGACTCAAGTTGCCCAGTGAAACATTGGACAAATTGTGTACTTTACACAATAAAACATCTCGGAATGTGACAGACATAACTGAAGGCTTACGTTCTGTAGTCGAACGACAACGAGCTAACCAGAATGGGAAAGGTATTTCAACACCTTCAACTAATACTTATCATAAACCTCAGGGTACCACGGATACTTATGTAAAACCTAAAATGACTAAACCCTCTCCAAAGTGGAAAGGTAGCAATGTCGTACCTATACAGGAAATCCCTCCAAACCTGTAGTGAATGTACCTCCTAAAAGTACTACTACAGGAGAGAGAAAATGTTTGTTCTGTCAAAGGGAACACACAACATTTAGTAATATTTATCACTTTAACGCGCACGGCGATATAGACTGGAACTTCCTGGAAGTGAAATTGACGTTTTCGGGTGACCGAGCGGCAACACTGAAAAGTGCATACTCTTTTCGCTGTCCTGACCTTAATTTTTAATGTACAGATTTCATTTTTATACCAATGTGTTCGCAATAGAATGATCTATAGGAACATATAAGAACATATGTATATGCAAAAAGCATGAGTTAAATCACACAAAAAGCTAAAGAACTACATCGATCACTAGTCGTGAGCTCCAAACAGCGACGAAATGTTTCTATTCTTTTCAGGGTTGTCAACTCCACACTTGTCCTACAGCGTTAAATTTGGTATCATTGTGATCGCAATTAAATTCCCTACATGGACATATGCATATAAATGTAGAATCATGATCGCGGCCCACACCAAGAGTGTGTGAAGTGCGCGATTACACTTGCCGTGTCAACAATACAATAGTCTTTCCACTAAGTTACAATACAATGCCATTCTCCCAAATATGCCATGTGCCTATTAGAGAAAACAGAAATTTAATGGCAAACATTCTCTATCTTGAGATGATTTCGGGGCTTTTTTAGTGTCCCTGCGGCCCGGTCCTCGACCAGGCCTCCACCCCCAGGAAGCAGCCCGTGACAGCTGACTATATATCTCTATAGCACTAAATGCATATAAACTCCAAAAGCCCGGCTAATTACCCGCAGCAAACAGAGAAAGTGCAAACGAGTTACCCACGAGTGCGCAAAAGTGATAAAATGTGTTCACTCTTTTCACTCTGGTCACCTCAATTTTCGTCCTAGGTCTTTCATTTTGGTATCAATGGGTTCTCAATAGAATTCTCTAGAGGAATATTAGCATATAAAATATAAAACCTGGTCACGCTCCACCCGCCGATGAGTTGAAGACGGGCCACGCATCAGCCGCGAGTGAGCGCCCAGACGCCTTCCAGCTACACTCCCAATTCCTGCCCACAAATGTTTAGTATTTTTACCGGTTGCTAATCTCAATTTTCGTGTTACAGCGCTCATTTAGGTATGAAATTGTTCCTAATAGAACGCTTTAGGTGGATATGTACATATATGCTTTAGATGGATATGTGCATATTAGGGCCAATTGAAGGGCAAAAAGAAAAAATATACAAAATAATACAACTTTTTGTACTTACCACTTCAGTGTTGTGTGTTGAACATGACATGGGTTGAACATTTGTTTTATCGCGCGCATTTTAAAACCAGTCCCCAAAAAATCGGATAAAAACCTGATTTTTAACAATTATTTTAGTGGAGGACGCAGCATTGCGTCATCACCGAGATTACCGACAGTAAACTGATGACACAATGCTGCGTCGTCACCGGACGAAAGTGTTAAATAAAATGCAGTAAGCTTAGTATGAATACTATTAAAAATCAAGCTAGATATCTTTTGTCATATAAGTTATTAGTTTGTGTACAATTTACAAGTTGACTTTATAGCATACATTTCCACACAAAATGTTTTCCTTTATTCATAAACAGAAAATACTGTAAGTACAGTAAACAAAACCTTTGAGTAGAATACAGTAAGCAGAGAAGAGCAGCACATACATTGTGTTCAAGGGTTGCGGCATCCCTCTGTGGTCCCAGTTCGGCCAACACTGTCAGGGGAACACCAACTGAAGAAAAAGGACACACCTCTGGCAAGGCCACCTCTATTTCCCTTTCCAGTATATTATTATTTTCACCTTCAATGTCACACTTCATAGTCATCCCACGAGAAGTGCGAAGTTTCACTAACGTGTCCTGAGGAGGAGAAGCAGCAGTAATAGGTATTGAATAAACTTCATGTAATACATTTTATTTAAGATAGGATAATCATAATATTCAAGGAACCATAAATGTACCTTAGACTACAAGGGCAAAACCTTTCTTATTCATCTGTACTGTACAAATCCTTCGTGCACCAACAACAAAGCTGCCATATTCAAGCTTTAAAGATACAATACCAACTTAAAAACCAGCGTTGAATGTAATGAAACGCCATTTTCTGGGCGAGACCCGAAGGCTCAACGGAGCTTATCCAAGCTGATATGCTAATGTCAGACTTTGGCATCAGTCATGTGTACGGAGTTCTGTGGACCTACCAGGGACCACCAGACAGAACCTGGCCCCCTCAGAGAGGCATTGAAAGCAATGGCCTATAGAAACCCCCGTGTGGTTGTAAGCATTCTATGTCTGCCATAGACTCGACCCCTAAAGGCTAATGCCAACAGAGAAAAAGAGCCTCTGAGAAACAATCCTGAACCAAAGGGGCCACAACAAACTGTGGAGAAGAAAAGAAAAAGAGCACTCTGTCCAAAGACCAGGATGGCTCAGGTGATGCACGAGCAAGCTGGAGGTGAACAACGCACAAGACAGCTTGCGAAACAGCAAAGACGTAACACCAATCCCGAAAGCAAGCTGTAGCGACTCTGTCAGCGCCGCAGGATACGAGGTGACAGTATGGGGCAAGATGATGACCCCAAATCTCCACAAGAGAAGGACAAGACCATGCCAACAAAAGCAGCTACCAAAGAAGGGACAGAAAGAAAAGGAAGGACCACCAAAAAAACCCACACTGACACCAAGAAGCACGCAGGTGGGATACTATGAACGAAACCACCCGACCACCAATATAAGGAGAGAGACTCAAGGCAGAACTAAACCAGCCCAGTCAGGGGCCAATCGAGCCTAAGAGGAGGCGGAGCCGAGGGAAGATCTCGGGTGCAACCACGGAGCCAGCAGAGCCAGAAACCCAAGCAAGCAAAGGAGGAGACGGAACGTGTGTAGTACAGAAAAACATCCCAACCCCAGCGAGCTCGCCAGGAGAGCGGAGACGACGGCTCCGACGCGAGACTCCAGAGAAGGGAAACCACGAGACTGGAAAATGCCAACAGGCAGGGAAGCCAGGAAACCAGAAACCCAAACCTGACAAGAGGAAAGTCAAAAGGCACTAACAAAACCCACAACAATGTTTAGCAAACGGAATGAAAGTAGCAAAGGTATGCCACCAGACCAGTATCCGAACCAAGGAGTACGAGCAACGAGGACAAGATCACCACAATCAAGATTCGCAAAGGAATTGACAGGGTAGAGAAAAACTGACTACAGGACCCCAGGGGCACATGCACCAGGGAACGCCGGTGGAAGGAGAGCCCAATGAGCCAGAGAAACATTGGAAAGAAGAAAGCAGTAGCAGAGTAGGAGACAAACAGAATGCATGAGGAAGCGATGTGGTGGAGGATGACACCACACATAGCTTCAAGCAGAGACAGGATAGAGCCCAACAGGCACAAGAACCCGCACATCAGCGAATGACAGGTGAGAAGCAGGACCAAAAAGCCAGAGCTTAACTCCCGCAAACACAACTAGGGAAGGACAACAAAGGAAGCAAAGAGAAACCAATGTATACAGAAGGGCAAAGCCAGGCACTGCAAGACTGGCAAGGAAGGAGTGACCCAAATAAGACCACGAAAAATGGGGCCGTGACCCCCCCTTGCAACAATGAACCCAGACGAACAAGGAAAGCCCCAGGAAGAAGTACGGAAGGGCCAAACAAAACACTACAACTAATCCTCAAAACGCAATCACAGTAAGAAAACTGCAGCAAAACGTCACCTTATAACAACCTGACACAGTAATATTTACCCCATAAAATACACCCCCACCATCGTACCTCGTAATCTGGTGGAGATGGGGCCCCACACCGGACTCAAGCATAGGTTGTACATGCATAAGAGTGGGACTGGATGGGCATAAATAGGAGCTGCCTCATAAGGCCCAAGAGGCCTGCTGCAGTCACCTGGGCTCTGATGTACGCATATTCATAGCCAAAAACCACGAACTAGCGCCTGGCTGAAATAGACACCAGACTGCAGAAACTCACCTACAGAACGTAGGCACGAATGTGTCGTGACACAACGTAGCCAAGAAGATGTCGGGAGCATTGCCAGTGGAAGAAGGCAAAGCCGCACATGCAGGATAAGAGTAGGGGAGAGGCGAAGGAGGAGCCCCACACCCACACACAGGGAAAACCCGGCGTCCTCCTCATAGCGGCAATCCAGAACAACCCCAATAGCTACGGGGCACAGACTGGAGAATTGAGAGGTATGAGAGGCGAAGCACCCGAGAGAAAAGGACGCAAAACACCAGCACACCACCCACATCAAAACAAACTACCACGGCGCATGGGCAGGCAGGGATGCCAGATGTGGGTTGTGAGAAGTCGTGAGCTGATAAAAGAAAATCACGAAATTGACTAGAAAACTAGACAATAGTGTTGTTAACGACTGAATCCCTTTTCAGAGTACACAGGTCAGCCATTAACATGAGACGAAAAGAGCAGTAAGTAGCAAAACATACATAGCATAGCCCTTCTGTGACTACAAGTCGGGCTACAAGGAGCTCAATCTGGCAACCCTGTGCAGCGCAGGACAGTACATGGAGAGAAGATACAATCACAAAAGAACTAAACAGGACTGAAAACCGATTAGAAGCATGAAGGAGGACTAACAAGCCCTAGAAAGGACCAGAGGGGAGCCACACCGGAAGACGACAGACTTCCAATAATACGGGAAGAAGCAAAAACCTTCCTGACCTTCGAGAACACATAGAAGCAAGCGTAAAGCACAAAGGCACAGAAGGCTCAGTCGCACCCGAGACCAAAAGTCATGCAGAAACCCCGAAAAGAGGGAAACATGACGGCGAAGGTCCGTCCCAAGTAGAAGGGTGGAGAAACGTACCCACTGACAGAACGGAACCGACGGATCTAAGAGACAAAGAACTGAACCCGGGGAGGGGCCGACTCCCAAAAACACGTACGGAGAGGGGGGGAAGAAGAAAAACCCTACTCCTATTAACTGCAAGCCCCACCCAGAGGGTAGAAAAACCCAGGCGGGGTCCAACAGTGCCCGAGGCCCCCCAAGTCCAGCCCCTCACCAGCCCTGGGAACCCACAAGGCAGGTCCCAGGGCCGAGCTGTCCCCCCAAAGCCCCAGCCACACAAGAAAAACCGGGGCAGTCGGACAAGTACTAAGGTAGGACGCCCACTGGCAGGCTCATACAACATGGCTGTAGGAACAGGCTCAAATGCCCCCGTCGCCACCCCGCCAGTCCAGAAGACTGCCCAAGTCTCAAGACCACCAAAGCCCCGTCCCGACTCTGAACTCACAGATGGTAAGGATCCGGATGCAGGGAGGAAGGGGTAACCATAACGGGGAAAAACAAGAGGGTGTGGAAGGAAACAAAACTGAAGCAACCAACACCCCCAAGCCCCCGTCACACCAACAAAAACGGGGCAGCCTCGGGGCGTCCGGGAAGCAAACAACCTAGCTTGTTGCCACTAGCAAAATGCAACATGTAACGCCTTCTAAGAACCGAACCCCCGGGACGCATACACTCATGGGGGCCTAGTAGGGAAAACCACTGAAAGAAGGAAGAGTACTCAGTGCACAGGGAGGCAAGAACCAAGGCAGACACCCCCCTATCCCCACCAGGCAGACAACAAAAAGAAAAAAACCAGTGTTGAATGTAATGAAACGCCATTATCTGGGCGAGACCTGGAGGCTCCCTGGAGCTTACTAGGCTGATATGCTAATGTCAGACTTTGGCATCAGTCACGTGTATGGAGTTCTATGGGCCTACCAGGGACCACGAGCCAGAACCTGGCCCCCTCAGAAGAGGCAAGGGGAGCAATGGCCTATAGACACCCCCATGTAGTTGGAATCATTCTATGTCTGCTATTGACTGGGTCAGGTACCCAGAAAGGTAAGCGTCCCATAACAATCCCCTATTCTGGTGAAAATATTGCTACCAAAAGCCGAACAAGTGGATAGAACTCCCCTAAACGAAACGAGCAAACGAACGTGATGTCACACGTCACCACGCCGTTGTATACGCAGCTCCCCCCTCCCTGGGAGGGGGAAGGGGGAGCCCCAGACCCCAGACGCCGGCAATCCACCCTTTAGTTCTTAGGCTGGATGTCAAAACACGCAAAAAACCGCGACCGGAGGGAGGGAGGGAGGGATGCCGGGGAGCCTCCGGGTCTCACCCAGAAAATGGCATTTCATTACATTCAACACTGGTTTTCTGAGGGGAGCCCCTTCGGCTCCCCTGAGCTAACTACCCACAGAGGAAAAACTTAGGGACTCACCGGGGAGGTGGTCGTTGCTCACTCCTCAACCCGAAGTCGAGACGACTGGCTGCAATCGCCGACCCAAAGAGACACAGGCCCGACTAGGCCCAGGGACGTTCTCAAGGTAACGAGCAGCCAGGACCCTGTTCGACTGCCAAAAGCCCCTCGCCCGAATTTCAGCCCACGACATGTTGCCAATGACGGCAGCAAGAGCAACAAACTTACGAATGTCACGGGCAGGGGCTAGATCGCAGGCTGGCTAGCCTTAATAACTGCAGACGACCTGGGAGACCCGCACCTGCGAACAGGGAAGAAGGGAAATCGGATCAACCCAAAGCACGTCCCCAGACACAGAAGCCGTGGCACGCAAATACATGGCGAAAAGCCGCAACCAGACACAAAACATGATGTGCCCTCGGCCTAACCAACCAAACATCCACAACCCAGGGACCCCTCTGGAAAGCAGCAGTCTCATTCTTTGCCAGAAAAGAAGGAGACGGCTGCGATCAAAACCATCACGAAGACCGAACGAGCAGAAACCCCTGTGCCGGAGGAGAGCATGAAGCTCACCAACCCGACCCCCAGAGGCCAATGCCAACAGGAAAAAAAGAGCCTTGGAGAAACAATCCTGA